AGTGGATCGAGACGATTTTCATTATTGAACCAAGATGTTAAATTATAACTTGGGTTTATTCCATGTATATGAAGAGAAAAAGTTTGAATCTTTTAATTCAATTATATTTTTGAGATAAATATAATCACGGAATTAGATTGTCTAAGTCCGTGATACAATTTAGCATCGCATACAGAAGTACTGTATTGTATAAAAATAAATGTGTGTCGGTATTTTGCTATTTTAATTGAAGTGTCGACCTAACCAGAGACGTATATACTACTGGCTTTATATATCTCTTACTTTAACATAAGGCAGACAAAATAACGTCAATTTGTAATTAAACGATAATACTGAAAAAATGCCATACATTTTATTGACATTCAAAAACAGCATATACCAACGTTGAAGTTATTTTGTAAACATTTTTCAATGATACATTTCCGGGTTTTTTTGGACCGTAGCGGTGCCACAGTATGTGACTGTAGATCAGAGAATATAAAGTGTATACGTCTGTGTAAAGAAAATAATTGCAAACTGACTTTCCAGCCTAAATTAAAGAATCATTTTTGATCGACAACATTGAGAGCATTTGCACAAATTTCTCATCAGTGCTCAGAATCAGGACACGCAATGCTACCAGTGTGTGTTAATAATAATATACAGCATTTGATACAGCGCTCTATCTAGCTAACATATAAGCCACTCTAAAGCGCTTTACAGTACATATATATACAATTAATACAATTAGCATTTACATTAATCAATTCAATTTTGAGGAATTCGCAGGAGCTGCCTTATCAGGCGCTAACTACGAGTCCTATGCCACCTGGCTAATATCTCCCTATGTATGTATGCTGGAGATGTGATGTGTTCTGTTTGTAGTGGGACCGTGCTTCCAACGGCATCATTTAAAGTGACACCTCACTTGAATGCTACAGCACAGATACCGCAACATCCACCCCAGACCATGTTATACTACACCTGGGTTGTTGGAGTTGTGTGGGCAGGAGAAAAACACTTTTTCTGATATTCCATGCGTCCGACGACTTCGAGGATCGAACCCCGGCCGCCTGCGTGGAAGGCCGAAGTGTCCGTCCTATTCAGAGTCGTCAGTTTGATATCAATTAAACTCACTGTCTGGAAATTCTGACAAATTTTATATGGCTGAATACCATCTACATAATGTTATCTTCAGCACAATATGATTCCTCAAAATAAAAAAAAATATTAATCCGCGATCTGACGCTGTATGGCCATGGCTGTTCTCTAACTCGCCTATTCCTGCCATGATGACTGCTAGAGGCGTTGAACTTGTGACGTCACAGCCGATAGGGTCCCATTCACCGCGAGTTACGATTACGACCGGTTTTTATGCGGTTTTCGACATTTTTGTTTTTGGATAATATAGAATAATAATATATTAGTTTCTATTTTTATTCAGGGTACACTTTGATACTCTCGGGTCCCTGTGGACGCAGATACGTCCTTTGTCGACGTATCTAGATTAAATTTCTCCAACGAAATCTGAGAATTTAGGAAGTATAAATTAGATGTATCTCAACCAACACTTGGGGAGAATGATTACTCCGACATATCAGGATAAGTCCAAACAAACATTATTGTAACTAATTAAATAGCTTATACTACTTTTTATACGTCTCTGATTGAATTTTACGTATCGTTTTAATTCAATTAAAGTATTGAACAGGGAAAGTATAAAGACGACCACCGTGCACGGGGGGTGTAACTTCGTGTATATAATAATGAAGAATGAAGATGAGTAACACTTAATGCCCTTTTCATTATGCGTCGGAAACGTATGGTTGTGAGGCATAGATAACAAATGACTTCAAGGGATTAGAGGGTTGGATTAGTGTTTATAATTTGAAATAACGCTATGATTATGTCTGAATGTGCTTGATGCTAATTTCATTCAAATGAGATTTAGATCACTATTACCGTAAACATTTAAAAAGTGTGTGGGGGAGGGGTTGGGCGGTACCGATGTCATCAACGCCGACTTCAGTATCTGACGAATGACGGCATCATTTCTTTTAAAATAATTTTCTAACATACATAATAGTTTTATTGTTCAGAAATTCCTTTCTTAAATCTGCAACAAAGAGGTATTTTGATAGGAAATAAAATATATCCTTTATATCTTATAATTGGCACAAACATGTCCTGTATATAAAACCGTCCTTTTGTATGGTGACTATATGTAACTTTTTTCAGATATAAGATAAGCAACTGATTCGTGTGTCAGGAGGTTGAATGAGTTTAGTATTCATTCCGAATTTCAAAAGAACAAATCAAACTTTACACTGTATCTATCTAAAAAAATCATATTTTTCATCTTCTTTTATAATTCTAAGCACATTTTATTCCACATATAAATCATAAATTTATGTTTCTAGTTGTAACTATTTTATGATAATTTCAGCAAAATCACAATGTAAATCCTTACGTGTGAAGTCATCTATATATCAAATCCTTTTTGCTAATTTACCTGGATATGTAAACCAGAACAGACCGGTGTGTTAGTTACGATGACCATGATCGCTATCAGGGGTGACCTTAGCTCAGCGGGGGTGCACTACCTCTCACCGGTACCTCACGTTTAGCCCCCTGGACATCCCCATTTCAGTAAAGCCAGAGCACACGCATGTACGTACTGCTTGGTCGTCTACTGAAAGGTCGCGAGGCCGTACGTATAATACCGGACGTAAAACCATCAAAATCAATCTGTACTGGCTCTTATTAAGATTCAGCTACCGTTTTTTTGTCAGCACATCAGACCAGAAACGTAAACGTCTCTGATCAGACACTTTGTTTAAAACAGTTTTGTTTTAAAAAATAAACATCGGGCGGTTCAAACAGAGGCGTATAAAACCAGTATATACGCAGTACATACACTATAGTATATTAACTCGGTAGTGAAGCGGACGTAAAACCTATCAATCAATCAATCAATCAAGTATAGTATAGTATATAATATATATCTCTGGTTAAAGGATTTTAAAAGGGGATGGCCGGGGTAGTTTTTGGAAGTGATCTCTTCTGTGTTGTGGTCCTTACGCCAAACGTACAAACTTTTTTATGTGGCTCTAGATGTAAATTGAAGAATTTCGTCGGTATCACCCGGGTGTTACGGCACGATTTCTCACCCCGACACGATTTCTCACCCGGGTAAGACATCGTGCTAAAAGTGCTCCGGTCGCGACACGATTTCTCACCCTAGCACAATTTCTAACCCGGGTGAGAAATCGTGCAAAACTGTAACACAACATTCCTTATATTTATTGGTTGATTTATCTATCAATCTATTTATTCATATATTATTATCTAATTTATTGCTTTTTACCGAAAGTCGATCTAAACCCATAAAACATATAAAAATTACATTTTATGACTACTTGTTTCTATGCTATGCCTATTGGACTCAATTTTCAAGGGGTTTGTCCATATAAATAAATGCACTTCTGTTGTTTATAGTATATACAAGTTATTTTGCTATATAATGTTGTTTGAAACGTTTAAAGTAAGTCAAGTGTGCTGCAACCGTTCAAGGTATCTGCTGGTCAAATATTAACGATAAATTTCGATACATTCTACTGTTATGATCGACCTGACATTTTGCACAAAGTTAGGTAAGTTGAACATATTTATGAATCCGAAGACAGATGTAAAAAATATCGATTAACGAATTCCCGGGCGCGCGAACACCTCACTGGACACTCATTCCTCCGTGGACAGTCAATCCACCCTCGTGAAAATAGTATTTATTGACGTATTTCGGTACATTCTACTGTTATGGTCAACCTGATATTTTGCACACAGTTAGCTAAGTTAAAAATATTTATGAATCCGAAGACAGAAGTAAAAAAATATTGATTAACGAATTCTCGGGCTGGCGTGGACACTCAATCCAACCTCGTGAAAATAGTATTTACCGACATATTTCGGTACTTTATACTGATACGATCGAACTCAAATTTTGCACACACCTAGATATATGAACAATATTTAGGAATCAGAAGAAAAAAGTGAAATAAATCTTATAACGAATTCGCGGGCGCGCAAAAACCTCCGAGGACACTCATTCTTCCCAAATATGCATTTTTATCGACGTATTTCGGTACTTTGTACTGTTACGATCGAACTAAAAATTTGCACACACCTAGATATATGAACAATATTTGGGAATCAGAAGAAAAAAATGAAATAAATCCCATAACGAATTCGCGGGCGCGCAAAAACCTCCGAGGACACTCATTAGGGTGACCACAACAGTTATCCCTTGGAGGGCCTCATGGAAAAAATCAAACTAACCAGTCACTTATCCCTTCCTTTCGCATAAACCACTGTATAATTATAGAAACACAAAGTAAACTCTCTCCAATACATGCCCATTAACATATTAAACTAAGTTCATCTGTGTTCAAACTCAGACAAAGATACTGTATATAGCGAGCTTAAAGGGACATCACGTGAAGAGCCATATTTTTTTTTAATGAATGTGTTACCTCGCTATCCCCATATTCATAGTCCGTTCCAAATGTCCAGTTTGACCACTTGAATTGTTCGGGAAAGCCCTGCTAAAAATAGCGCCGATAACGTCACCTGACTAGGCAGTAAACACAAGTGGTGTGAGCGAGATGAAACGGTTTCCATAGGGGGCCCCCAGAGAGGGGACGTTAGGCAACTGCAACTTGATACCGCGCAATGGAACCAAGTAACATGCAATCTAATTAAAATTATATCTTCACATCGCTCCCGTTTACTGATATGTCGCGTTGAAGATCTAACAACATCCCATAGAGGGTCACGTCAGAGGTCAANGGGGGTGGTTTGGAGTCGTCTATTCTATCCTATCCTTATCTTGTGGTGTAATTTGGAGACGACTCCTTGGTCCGAAATGGTGTGTCTTGCTGGATGTTGTATCTGTGATTGTTGCTCCTTACTAATGTTTTTGTGTCGTTGAGGGGACTCGAAATTGGCCAATGTGGCTTATATTAATTTATATATGTACTTAAAAAAGAAAAATATTTGTTTATTTTTAAAGTGTATTTATTGCATATATTCCTGTTCTTATAGGGAGGTATATATATTATATTTGTTATGTACCTCGGGTCTCTTACTGCCGGTTGAGCCCGACAGTAGGGAAACGTCTCTGCTTCCGTTAGGTACAGTACTTTGTTTCCTTGTCAGACTTGGCCGGAGTTTGAGATTATCCGAGGGGTCCCTATGGGTATCATTTCAATCTGAATCCTTTTTATAGCCGTTGAAGCATTACTAACCTGTGTCGATTTGATTATATTTGTTTTAAGTATCTTTTATTGCTTTGATAATTATTGGAAAGTTTGATTCAAATATTGAAGCTACCCCATGTTTTGTTGATAAGTAATTAAATCTC